CCCTCCTCCCCTCCCCATCTACAAACACTTTATTTTCATCTTTTCATTCTCTCACATTTTTTTCTTTTCCCTTTTTGTTCTTCCCCTACGTATCACACCTTCCCTACACCTTTAGCTCCTTTCCTCCCATTTCTAAATGTCAGTAATCTTATTAGAATCTTATGCATTGTTGCAGAATATTCACACCAGGGAAACTATTTGGTATTTACACATGTGGGACTTATTTATTTCACTTAGGAGTATATCTTCAATATGTATCCATTTTCCTATGAATGAATCTATTCTCTCGCTCTTTATGGCTGAGTAATATTCCATTTTATAGAAAAACCACAACTTCTTTATCCAGTTGAAACTCTGTCTTAATATGAATGAATGAAACAGGCAGACAGACAATTTGTAGAGGATAAGTTCTCATTACCTAGTATTGTTTTTCCTCTCTTTGCCCATCCTGTCTTTTATCCCTGTAATACAGTATCATAATCAGATATTTTATTTGTATTTTTAAATGGTGGCTATTTTGTACAGTGTCTTAATATTTTTGACTTAATTTGTTTTCGTACATTTCCATCAGATCTTTCACAGCAAATGTGTCTTATTTTCTTATGGCGAAATGTTGAATCTGATTTCCTTTAATATTCTCATTATTAAACTTTTGAAATGATTTATTTGAAAAACAAAACTTTAACAAGGCAACACTGTGGCTTAGGAGTAAAAACAGGATTACTTTGAATTGGCAAAGCCTTTTAAACAATTGTGTCTGACATGTTGGGTGACAAGGATTCTAACAAGCTACTCTAACAACCACAGACTCCATAGAGAGATCGTTCTGAGTTCATTTGCAGGTTTTTGCTTAGCTTGAGCTAACAAAATGATGCTGAACCTCTTAGGTAGTCTTTGTGCTTTCTGAATGAGTTTTTTTTTTTAAGCTATTAATGTTTATCTATCTTTTAAAGTATGTAAAAAGTACTACTGGGCAAAGTATAATCATGTTATGTGAAACTGATGTATATATGATTCATAAGCATATTCACATTCGTTTGAAGTCTTCCTTGTGTTTAAGTTTTCATCTGAAACTTTTCATAATACGACTTAAAAATTAATCATTAATGCAAGAGGCATTTCCTGAGAAGTAAACTATGTAATTGTTTTTAAATTCCCAGGTACGTTTTTGTAGTTATGTTTTACAATTGTACTCTGCTTCTTCGTTTTTCTTTCTCATAAGTTACAATACATTTTGTATCTTTCTGAATTATTTCAATAATTATTATTTTCTTATATATTGTTTTTCTTGGCCTTTTCTGTTTCAGCAACAAAAATGTCTAGTGTTGGCATTTACCTGGAATATTTCTTTTCTTACTAGATCCTGGCATATACAGAAGGGCTGCATGGAAAATGGCTTTTCACAGAGATACGATCAATCTTTTCTCGTCGTTATCTTTTGCAAAATACAGCCCTGGAGATCTTTATGGCAAACAGAGGTAATATGTTGGAGAAGGCGTTATTACAAAGCTAAGTTCACCTCGTCCTGATTTCATCTTGAACATACCATACGTATATTGTTTCCTTTTAAGCTAGTTTCTTGTAGTTTACCCTCTGCCCTCCTAATCTCATTTTTATACTACATGGATCTTGTGTTACCTTCTCGCCTCGATCATTTGTAGACTCATTTTGTAGTTCTCTCTCTGGGCATATACAGGTTGGTGTGTGCTTATAAATACTGTGTGGGGGATGTTCTCAGTGCTGCTTGGATCTTAAAGTCTTTCTGGTGGGCGGCTGCAGTTGAGGACAGGAGAGGATAACCAAATGACTCATAGCATTTATTGTATCTTTTGCTCAATCTGTGCTATTTATAGAGGAACCGTCAGAAAACAGTACTGAATTGTTGTGGTTTCTTTGCATTACATCATTGTTGAAAGTTGAGCTAAAATTCTGTTTGTAGGTGAAGAATGGAACTTGGTGAAATCCATTAATACTAGAAAAGGAAAGAAGCTGAACTGGAAAGAAAAGCATGGCTGGGTATTAGTGAAGGTGTACAGGGGAAATTATATAAAACCTTGCTACATTTTGTGCGCACTCCTTGTATATGTGTAGGTTGATGGTTTCTTGTTTTTTTGTAATCTACATGTTACTAATAAAATCTACATATAACATTTAAACATTAAACATATACTCTGAGCATACATTTGTTTTTCCTTTATGAAAATATGTCTTCAGCGAATACAGCTGTCTTTAGGGAAAGATATTTTCCCCTTTCCTATATGGGCTCTCCTCCCCTTTAAACACGTCCTTTTTCTAATCTAAACATTATTCTAGGCAAAAAGAATGTTTCACACCTGAGTTCAGTCTGCATTCTTTTTATCCAAAGGCGTTACAACCTTATAATATTTATTATTTTCTCATTCACATTGATTTCCTTCTTTGATTTCTTATACATTCTTGCTTTTATATGAATGTTTTACTCTTGTCTTTCCCACCAACCCTTGGTTATCTGCCATAACTTATTTTTTTTCCTCCTCAGTGTAATAGTGAATATATACAGGCAGGCTTACTTAAGTGGTATATGTACATGGCATTATTAAATATTTTGTAGATCCTTACTGAATGATCAAGTACTTATTCACCTAAAACATACTGGCTATGCCAGCATTTAAAAGCTTTAGCAACATAGGCCATTTTTTGGTTTATTTTTTAGCCTTAAGTATTTTTTACACTAGATAGAGTAGTTCCTAGATCAACATTTGTAGCCTATGATTCTAATATTGGTGTTAACATAAAATTAAAAATTCAATATTGATGAAGTTAATGTCTTCTAAACTCTCATTATTGTATGACTTTATTATGCTTTTTGAAAATTTATACATGACTTTAACATACTCTGAGTAAATTTATGTATTAATAGATGCTTCTTGCTATTCTCATACTTAAGTAATCACAATAAAAATAATTAAAAATCATTTAAATTTTATTATTAACTAAAGAGGAAAAATATTTTCAGAACAAAAATTGTTCTGGATTACATGAACATATGAAGTGTGCACATACAAACATTGAAAAGATAGCCATTTTCAAACTGTTCATCATTGCTTATAAATATAATGGTTTTATAGCTGTATATATAGCTTTTAGTGTTAGATCGGTAAACTTTAATAATTCATTTTAGAGATTCTTAGAAATATATTTTACTTGTAGTAATTCAGATTTGTGAATTCCAAGTTGTAGCTGGATAGTCTCAGCTCATATTACACTAATGTAGCAACAGTTTTTAGAATTCTTAACAGTATGTAGAAAAAGAACCACCCCATGGTTATAAGTGAAATGAATATCATTTCTGGAATATTAATATCAAACCTTTACATACAGTATGAAATAAGCAATATATAAGAATTGTACTAATTCATACCCAAAGTAATAGTAAATATTCTAATAGACCAAGAAGTCAGTTTAGCAAAAAAAGGAAGCCCTATCATATTCTCTAACTTTTAATAATTATTTGTCATAGTTGCTGTAATGTTCAACTTCCCAGACCCTGCAACAGTAAAGAAAGTCGTCAATTATCTACCTCGTGTTGGTATTGGAACCAGTTTTGGATTGCCTCAAACCAGGTACTGTGTTACATGAGAAAAATAGAGAAAATAATTTGCATTAGTATTTTATTAATCAGTCGTATTAATATTTTATTGAAATGCATGCTCTTCTGTTTTACATTTCATAGTAAATGATGAGTATTAAGGTATTATTAGAGTAGTATCAACTAAATTATATAGTACAGTGTCTAGTTCAAAGTATGTGCTCAACAAATAATATAGTTAGGTAAACATTTCTCCAACCTTGTCCAACACCAAATTAAAGGAACTGTGCAAGATACACTTCTAATCTTTATGATAGAAAATTTAAATTTTTATATTTAAAGGTTACTGTCTTTGAAAATGATGTGTATCACGACATAAGTATTTATACAGTTTTTTTTTACTCAAGAAAAGGTTCATTTTACTTTTGATTTTTTTTTTCTATAAATAAAGGAAGATAACACCAGGTGTTAGAACAGATGTGGAGCAAGTCAGCTTCTTGTACACTGCTGCTGGGGTATGTTAATAGTACAGTAACTTTAGAGAATTTGGGAAACTTTGGGGAAATCTGAACATATGCATGTGCTGTAATCCACAAGTTTTATTCCTCAAAGTAGGTTCAACAGAAATGGCCTCATATGTTCACCCAAAAGTGTATAGAAAAATATTCACATTAGCATCATTCATGATAGCTTCAAACTAGAAATGACCCAAAGAGCAATCAACAAATGATGGATAAGTAAATTGTAGTACATCTGTACAATGAAATATACAACAGTGAAAATGTGTGAACTCTCGTGCACATAGCAACATATATGAATTTAAGTGGAGAAAGCCAGAATAAATAATTCTGCTTACATAATATTCAGAAGCAGGTAATATTGGCTTTAATGTTACTTACCAGGATACTGAGGGTTTTTTTGGTAGTTCATTTGTGGTTACATAGCAGGGCTTATAGAGTGCTTCTTGGCATGGTTTTGTGACTGGGACAATGGCTACACACTATTTTATAAAAGTTCATAAAGTTGAATCATTTATGATTTGTAGAGTTGTATGTTAAAGTGTAATAAATAGCTTTAAAAATCACCCTGAATTTCACTATACAGAAATAATGGCTGTTATTTGTTACATTGGAACCATGTTTTATTATTAATCCTTCTTATGAACACAATTAGAATCAATCACCCAGATTTTGGGCTGTATTTTTCATATAATGGATTCTGAGTCACTTTGGAAAACAATTTACCAGTTTTCTTATAAAACTAAATATGCATTTTATATATATTCCTAGGCATTCAGCAAGAATACTGAGGAAAAATACACACAAATTCACTTTTAAGCAAATATTTTTAGCAGGTTTATTAGAGTCCCTGACTGGAAGTATTTCTGATGCCCATCAGCTTCGAATGCACAAACAGGCTGTAGTACGTGCATCAAATAGAATATAGCGCTACTCAGAAATAAAAGGAACCAACTGCCAACAACAGGAGGCAGCTTGGATGCTTCTCCAAAGCGCAGAGATTAGAAAAAGAAGTACGGTGCTGGTGAGCTACATACAGCATAGCCATAGGTTATTTTTCTGTGGAATTAAATTACTCATAAAGCTAAATAGTGCCAGAAAGGAGATTATTTTTTCCTCTAGGTTCTAGGATTTGGGGCAGGGTGATTAGCTACAAAGGGATTGTAATGGTGGTTTCATAAATATGTGTATTCAAAACTGATCAAGCTGCACATTTATGTTTAGTAAATGTTATTCTGTTAAATTATATCCTTGTCAAAACTGTTGAAAAATTAATATCTCTAAGCATGTTTAAAATATGTTACAAAATTGTGTGTTCTATACTCATTTTAATATGTACTATTTAGTATGTATGCTTACTCAGATTAAAATATCTTCCATTTGCTAAAATGATTATATTTTACTTTATTATATCATTTATTATAATTATTTTCTTTATTGATATTAATATCAACTACTTATTAAGTTTTATTAATTTTGCTTTTACATATGAACTTTCTAGCTAGTGTTTATGTTGCTCAGAGTGAAGTACCAAGTGTCTGAGAGGAATGTTAAGATGTCAAAGCATCTCTCACAGCGTGGGGTGTAGGGCGCAGGGCAGTGCAGGGATAGGTGCACCTCCTCACTGTCCTGCTCAGTGGCCTTATTTAAAGAGCATCGTCACCGGCTATTTCCTTTCAGAGCAGATATTGATTCACCATCACTGCAATGTAGTTAGCTAATTAAAGACTAGAGTGTGAACATGAGGAATGAAATATAGTAGCAGTGGAAACTTAGTTTACTTTTAACATTCCTAATTTTGTATTGATCCAAACTGTTTTTAATTAGTGTTTGTTTCAACGTTTTAAGGTAGTGTCTTATTATAAGTGCAGTTGAAATAGTATGCACAAATAGCAGTCAGGATGTTAGCAGGAACAAGACCTTGCCCGGGGCCCCGGGTACTTTCCAAGAAGGGTAGCTGACCGCTCCACAGAAGCAAGCCCATTCCTTAGCACTTCTCCATCTGCTTCCTGAGTGCCAACACGACACGGGAGCTGGCTGCTTGCATAGTGATTTCGGGAGCCCCCAGCCCCTCCCTGGTGCATGGGATCGAACCCACGGGCTCATCTGCGCTGAGCTGCATCTCTGATGTTTTTGTTTTTATTCTGAGACAGGGTCTCACCAAGTTTCACAGGCAGGTATTAAACTTGAGATCCTCCTGCTTCGGCCCCCATAGCTGGGATTACAGGAGTGCATCACTGCACCTGGCCCCTGTGTCTTTTTATGACTCACTCTTCACCCTGACACTCCATCGTTTCTGCCACATTGTATTTGTCACAAGTGAAACACTAAATACATTCCAGGATCCAGAACAGGAAAGTTAAGCTCCAGTTCTTGTAGATAAATTTCAAAACCACCATAGCTCAGGCCTTTCATGTAAATAGGCCAAAATAAGTGGCCTGTTTCAATTATAAGCAGTAGTTGCTCTTCTGATGCCAGTGATCATTTTTATTAGATTTCATAATTTGATGAGTAATTTTAGGGCAGAGAATGTGAATCATTTCTGTGGCACTTGCCCGGTGTGCAGAAAGCAGAGTTTGAAACTTAGCACTGAAAGAAAAGAAACAAAAGAGCTGAGAAAGAAGCAGCTCAGAACAGCACAGATCTCCTTATCTTCACTAATAGGAAAGTATCTTATACTATACTATTAGAAGACGTGATTTAAGAATATAGAGACTGTTTAAATAAACATGTTTATTACAGTAAACGATACATTGCCATTAATCTCCCTCAGAATGCTCCTCCTTGCTTCGAGCACAATTAGCCCATCATTTTTTTTATGCCACTTTCTGAAGCAGTTTTTTATGCCTTTCTGTGTCTGCCTCAATGTCCTGAATTGATTGAAAATGTTTCCAGCACTTTCTGCCAATTAAAACACAACAGTGTGTCTTCTTCCACCTTTTTCGCTGGGTACTGACATTGATTCTTGATGTGGAGGCAGCCATGATGGCGCAACTGATGACACTCAGGAAAGAAACTTCTGTAGCTTCTTCAGAAAGTGGTGAGGACATGGGATTATTGTGTTTGAGGCAAAAACAGGGGTTGCATTTTTAGAAGGACTAGTGAACCTTTTACTGTAATGATTTTTTAAATTTGGATTTTTGTTTTTTGGGTTTTTTTGTTTTTTTTTTTTTTGAGACAAGATCTCACTATGTAGCCCAGCATGCCTCAGCCTCCCAAGGGCTGAGATTACAGCTGTGCACCACCATGCCTAGCTAATGACTTTTTAAAAAATGTAAACATTCACTGTAATATTTCATTGCACCTTTGTACCTCTTTTTTTTTGTTTTAAAGTCAGGGTCTCACTCTGTATTTGAGACTGACTTGAAACTCACTATGTAGCCCAGGCTGGTCTCGAACTCAGCCTCCCTAGTGCTGGGATTACAGGTGTACACCACCATACCCGGCATTATGACTTTTGTTTCTTTCTTTTTTTTCTCTCATTGAGTTTATTGGTACATTTTAGGTATACAGTACAGTTACATTTATCTTTGGGTTCTTGTACCTTTATATGACAGATCTTGGTTCTCATTTTCCCCTCCTTTTTTTTTTTCTGGTTTTTGAGACAGGGTCTCACTGTGTAGTTAAGACTGACCTGGAACTCACTATGTAGCCCAGGCTGGCTTCATACCTCTTCATAAGTTTTATTTATCATTATCGCTCATGACTCGGGAACTCTTGTTGTACTTTTCTGGTTAATGAAAGTCTTAATTCATCAATCAGTTTCTTTGATGGGTTTTCACTTTTCAGCAGTTAAAATGTGTCAAGCACCTGCAACATATAAGATGAATATTGTCTCATCCACATATATTCAAACACATATGTTTACTAAATAGCTGTGATAAGTGATAAATTTATAGTGAGGATGTTGTGGTAATGGTAAGTGGTCTTGAGATGGATTGCTTAGGATAAGGTGGTCAGGAATGTCTTCCTGTGGAACTTTGAAGTTTTGATTTTTAGAAACACGGCCAGCTAACTTTTTTTTTTTTTTATTGAGTTTATTGGTACATTTAGGGATACAGTACAGTTACATTCATTGTTGGGATCATGTACCTTTACATGGCAAGTCTTGATTCTCATTTTTTTCCCCTTACCTCTGCCCTCCCTTCACCCCCTCCTCCCCTCCCCATCTACAAACACTTTATTTTCATCTTTTCATTCTCTCACATTTTTTTCTTTTCCCTTTTTGTTCTTCCCCTATGTATCACACCTTCCCTACACCTTTAGCTCCTTTCCTCCCATTTCTAAATGTCAGTAATCTTATTAGAATCTTATGCATTGTTGCAGAATATTCACACCAGGGAAACCACATGTGTAAACGGCCAGCTAACTTTTGAAAGAGGGAACAGTGTGTGCAGATGTCCCGAAGCAAGGCAGAGCTTCCAGAGCTTGGGAATGTTGGAAGGCAAGGACACATGGACCTTAGTGACTTAGGAAGAGAGTGGCAGGCAGGAGAGAGTGAGCAGCCTATGGTATAAGTCCAGGTGACCCAGGGTGAGAATAGTGCAGCTAACAAGAGATTTGCAGATGAACAGTGTATGGGGATGAGATTAGTAAGAGGGAGCTGCTCTGTAGCCCGCCCTAGTCCCAGAGCAGGCTGCCAGGTGGTGCTTACTGAGGTAATCAGCTCCGGAGACGCAGTCTTCCATCCATATGGGGATGGGGGAGAGAGGGATGAACAGCATGAGTTTAGTTTTAGACGATTAGAATTGAAACCTGTGCCAGGGAGATGTTCTATTTCCTTTACGTGGCCTTTTAAAAAATTCCGCATTGTCTTAGTTACTATGGCTTTCTTCTCAGTTTCTGTGTCTGTGCTCTGGGTTGTTAGGATACAGCCCGAGTTTCTCTTGCCATTCTCAAATGTGTCCCCTGATGAGCTCATTCGTGCTTAGGTCTTCAGCTCTCATCTGTCTGGCAGTGACTCCACATTACTAGACCTTCCTTTTGTGCTGTGGATTTCTAATCTGTATCTAACATGTATCTAACTTGTTATTCAGTATTGCAACCTGGACTTCTCCCAGGGGTTTCAAAGAGCCTCATTGCCTGATTTCAAATTTACTATAAAGCCACCCTAATTAAGACAATGTAATATATATGTGTGTGTGTGTATATATGTATGTATGTATATATATATATATATATGTATATATATACATGTACTTTTTTACAAAGATCAGGAAAGGAAATAGAGCATCATGTACATATCAATATTAGTTTTACATCCTAACAGCAAATATATTAAATTAGCTCAAAGGCTCACTGACAAAGTCATTTTCATTTTCCTGCCTTGTAGCATGTTTTGCTAAACCTTACCACTTGAATTCTGGCATACCCCTCCCCCCGTAAGAGAAAATATGAAGAGTTTAGCACTTGCAAATAAGGTGTTATAACAGCAACCAGTAGATCATGTTTTCTTACAGCTGATGCTTAGAGAAAAGCAGGGGAGGGAGATATCTAGCTCCCCATTCCTTGCTCGGGGACTGTACCAGTTTCTCTTCTGTACACATTGCAGCATCTAGAAAGCGCTTGGGTTTCAGAATTTCTTTTTGTCACCTCATTTGCCACCATGGCTCTGTCATGCAGCCTTTGATGTTTTGGCCTCTCCTGTGCCTAGCAACTCCTCTTCTCATGGGAGTAGGAAGATGACCACGTGGAGCCTCTTTCCAACAGAGCTGTAACATTTCACAACTTAAGAAATATGACTAAAGTAGTATTATGGAATATTGTATAGCTTTAAACATCTGTATTTGAAGCACAGAAATGCCTCACATCAATAACCTAAGGTTTCTTCTTTAGAAAACAGAAAAGACCAAGCTAGATGCAAAGCAAATAGAAAAAAAAAATGAATAATGAAGATTATAGTAATCAGTGAAACAGACAAAATTAATAAAGATCAATGAAATAAATTGATTCTTGAAAAAGCTTAGTAAAATTGACTGTTTAACCAAGCATAAAAAGAGAGCAGCCATAAATTATCAAAATCAGAAATTATAATAGAGATATCACTCCTGAACACATACAAATCAAAAGAATTAGAATGGCAGGGTGTTGTTGTGCAAACCTATAATTCTAGCCTCTCAGGAGATTGTGGCAGGAGGATCTCAAGTTCAAACTCAGCCTGGGCAACTTAGCTAGAACCTGCCTCTAAATGGGAAAAAACGGGGAGGATATAGTTCAGTTTGAAGGCCCTGGGTTTCATCCCCAGAAAAACAGACAGAATTAGAAAGGAATATCATGAATAACTTGATGCCAAGAAATTAGATAATTTAGATGATATGGACAAATTCCTAGAAAAACAGAATTACTGATAATAGCGAGATAAAAAATTTTAAAAATGAACACACTTATAAGAAGTAAATAGATTGAATTGTTAATTTAAAACTCTACCCATAATTAGTAAGTAAGGCCCAAATGATTTTTTCCAGTAGACCTGGTCCTATCAAGTATTTAAAAATATAAATTATATCAATTCTTCAAAAATTAAAGATAAAGGAAGAGAAAGCACTTCCTGACTCTGTAAGGCCAGCATCACCCCAAGATTAGTGCCAATGATCATAAGGCAACAAGTAAGATAATGCTATGAGCTAATGAATATACACACACAAAATTCTTACAAAATTTAACAAGTCAAACTCAGCAGTATATAAAAAGTATTATAAATAGCCATTGAAATGAGACTTGGTTTAAATCTGAAAATTAGCATGCTTAATAGATTAAAGGACAAAAATCACACAGTCACCTCAAAGGAAAGGCATTTGACAAAATTCAACACACATTCATAAGTAAAACTGTCACCTGACTTGAAATAAAAGAGAATTGTCACAAATTGACAAAAACTGTTCACACACACACGCACAAAACCTTACAACATACACCATACTTAATGTTGAAAGACTGAGTATTTGCCTCTAATTTCAACAAGAAAATCATGTCCAGCATTCTCACAGTTTCTACTCTACATTGGAGATTTTCACCTGTGAAGGAAGAAGGAAGGGAAGCAGGGAGAATTTAAAGCTGCCCAGCTTGGAAAAGAAGGGAGAAATCATAAAAGAAGTATAACATCTACTCAATGAAAAGTACAAAAGAATTCGAAGAGAAACAGAAGATTTAGTAAGATTTAGAGGACAGTTCTCTCCTAATCCATTAATTCAAGTCCCCATCAAAATTCCAACAGACTACTTTGGAGAAATTGAGAACCTAAAATGCAGTGGGTCTAGAATAACCAAAATAATTTGGAGAAAGAAAAAGAAAATTAGAGGACACAAACTGACTTCAAAGCTTATTAAGCCCCAGTAATTAAGACAATATGGTAATTTTACAAGGATAGTTATAGAAATCTGTGGAACAGAGTTGAAAGATACATAACTTAAATTTTTTTATATTCTGCTTCTTTGAATGATGAAAATATTCTGCAGATATGTACTATAAGAATAAAAATATACTGCAGTAATAACTGCGCAACTTTACAAGTTGTCTCTTTAGAAAATTCACTATTTGTACATTTATAATGAATTAATTTTATGATATGTGTATTGTACCTCAAGAAATCTTTCAAATTCTTTGTGGTGAGAAGACCTGTGACAGAATATATCTTTGAGACTCCAGATTAGTGATGGCAAACCTTTTAAAGATTAGTGCCCAAACTGCAACCCAAAACCTACTTATTTATTGCAAAGTGCCAGCCCTAAATACTGAGGTTTTAGTTCAGAAAAATTAAGTCATCCATTAACATCTTTTATCTTGAAAAACAGAGTAATATGCATGCAGTGTGTTCACCACCACTACTTTAGACTTTGAAAGTAATCATCCTGCTCCTGTTTCTCACTGTTCTTGGCATTGGTTTGTTGTGTCCATGAATATTTACATTTTTATTAAATCAAGTTTTCTAAGAACCTTTATTTAAAAAGTCTGTAGTTTCTCCTTTCTTTATCCATCCCATAGACACCTAAATAGTTTAGAATTCTCTTTCTCCTGTTACAAAGGACCTGCAAATACAGTGTTTAAATGTATAATGTTCAAATAAATGTGTGAACTTTAAGACATGACTATTAAATTCGATAGACATGTGAATACAATTTTATATGCAGTTACTATGATTCCTTCTTAATATGATTATTAATCATACTGCTATTAATCAAACTGTATGGAACCTGGATATTGTAATGGCGTTTTAATGACGGTTTATCTGAATGACTAGAAAGAACATGCCTAATAGATCTGTGGTTGCTCCAAATCATTTGTTAACTGTTCATTCTAGATTGAAGTATCTCTACTATTCATTAGTCTAACATGAAGAGAATGTTAGAATTATAGATTTCATTATGAATGAATAAGCACAGGTAATTCATGATTTAATATTATAATTAATCTTGTTTATTAAGTTGATTTTTACATTGAATTCTTTTTCTTGCAGGCGTATTTCATTAGCTAGTCCACGACAACTTTTTAAAGCTTCAAACATGACCCAGCGATGGCAACATAGAGAGATCTCAAATTTTGAGTACTTGATGTTTCTTAACACAATAGCAGGTAATCCATGTTCACATACTGACTTATTACAAATAATAAATTATTAATTGTGGTATGCTTAGATTATTTTGGGGGCTGTCATAAATAGCTTATTTTTATTGTCATCATTACTATATCTTCTAAAAGTAGGATAACGGTATCTTAACACTCTTTTACGTGAATAATTAGGACTTGAAATTAAGAAGTGAATGTAAAATTTTTTTTTCCAAAAATGAGAAAAAATTTATAATTAATGTAGCAACAGTGGAATAATAAGAATGAAAAACACTGTAAATATGGAAGGACCTGTTCATAATGTGGGTAAGAATGTATTATATGATAAAACAATGAAGTGCAGCATAGAAAAAAAAACAGTAAGTAAAAAAAAATTAGCAACAAGTAAAATATTAGGTAAAGGAGTACTTGTAGTATGACTTATCTAAGAAAATATATAAAGACCCAGTGTCCCTGCATAAGGTCTGCACTCACTAAAAATCATCCCCTGAAACTGTTTCTGTGAAAGGGCATAAAAAAATAGAAATGTATCATTGATTCCAACTAGAGTAAAAAAACAAGTGTATCTGTGAGACATGTAAGATTCATGTCAGTGAATTTACATGGTTTATATTTGAAACACAAAGGACATGCATAGAGCAAAAGGTATGTTTCTTTGTCTCAGAGAAGTTAAGTACAAATATGAATGTAGTACATATTTTAAGTACAAATATTAATTCCTTATTGGAAATGCTTGGGATGAAAAATGTTTTGGAGCTTTTGGAGCTTTTCAGATTTGGGTATATGTGTATCGACTTTACCTACCATTGAGCATCCCTAATCCATCTGAAATCCAAAATGATCAGAAATCTAAAACTTTGTGCTCATTTTTTCAGATTCTGGATTTTTGGATTAGAAATGTTCAATTTTTAATCTGTGATTCTAGAGAAGGGGGTATAGATTCAAGGAAAGAAATATAATGTTTTATGGAGATTAAAAGAACAGCGAGAAGTAAATTATATTCACCTAGTTGATGGGAGAAATCAGAAAATAAGGGATGATTTCAGTGGTGGTCACATAAGGATTGATGCATTATTTACCTGAGGAAGAGTTGGTTCTGAAATGAAAGTAGAAGGAAGCATAGAAAGTGGTACAATTTAGGCCGAGGATTTAGCTCAGTGGCACCAGCCTGGCAAGCATAAGGTCCTGAGTTTGATCCCCGGCATGAAAAAAAAGTGAGTTTAGAAAGAAGGTACAATTTAAAGTATAACCAGCAAATAATCATTAATGTAGTTCAGGTTTATATAGATGTATGTGTGCCTATAAAAAATGCGTTCATGAATATATAATGGGAAAAAAGAATGTTAATGTGGAGACATTGTGTAAGATTTTCTGTCAATTGGAAGAGTTAACAGTCAGCATATTTGTAAACTTTTAAAAGTTTTTGAGCACAAAAACAGCTGTACAACATACTAAAAGTGTAAAAAAAGCTGACTGGGAGGCTGTATGTAAGATAGACTGGACTACAGTGGGACTAGGCAGAGAGCAAAATTAGGAAGCAATCATAGGTGGATTCCATATTACATGTATGTAGTGAGGGACTACACTAGAGAGGTGATAGTGGACACTGAATGGACAGATCAAATATTGTAGGAATTTACAAGGAACCAACCTTTTGATGTGCCTCTGAGTGAATGTAGGGGTCAGTGAGACAGACCAGCATGTCAGAAAAGCGTTCCAGTTTCTGGTCTCAGCCACTGGGCAAATTAACTACTGGTGCCATTGACAGATAACTAGGGAAAGATGGCCACTGCACTGTGTTGACAAGACATCCAAGTGAAGTATCAGAAAGAGTACAGGTCAAGTGGGTATTCAGAACGTAGACATGACACTGTACTTCCGCTGCATTGGGAGCAAATCACTAAGAGAAATGAGATCATCGGGGCAGGTAATTCAGAAAGAGAGCTAAGGCTAGGGGAGCAATCTGCCTTCTGATTCATACGAGAAGAAAAGAGTAGGGAAAGAAGGAGGAGGGAAAGTAAAGAGAGAGAAGGAATGAGAAAAGTAAAGGAATGGACAATCCTGGAGTTTATAGATACAGTAGGAAGAGGACTGAGGTTATATCCGATGCCTTGAGAGGTAAATATTTGTCACTTGTCTCAAATGCTATGCAAAGGTAAGGGAGAATTAAGAATGAGAAGAGGACACATCTGTGGACTTGGCACTTTGGGGCCTGCTGGTTATTTCATAGGAGTTCATTTTTAAATCAAGCAAAATGGTTGATAGGAACTGAAAGGCGGGAGGTAAAATGGGAACTTGAAATTTAGGTTATAGTTTTCTTAAATGTGAGAGTAAAGAAAGGATGGTTAAGGGAGAGAGGAGAAGCCATGAGAGATGGAGAGAGAGGGGAAAATGAAGTTGAAATTATAAAGGAGACAGGTTCAAGAGTTTGGGTGAAGAAATATTACTTTTAGCAAAGGAGAAAGCTCCTCTCAGAGAAGAGGAAAGAGAAAGGAGGAATTATAAACAGTTTTAGAAGTCTAGGAGCTCACATTGGAAGATCTGAATTTTCTCAGTTGAGAAGAAGTCATCTGACGGTTAGCTGGGGAAAAGAAATGAAAAAGCATGAACACTTTTGTCCACTTTAGTAGAAATTATGGAACTAGTAAGCAAAGTGATTTTAAAACTTGTATAACTCTCCTGTCTCATACTACTCCTTAAAATTTCCTTTAAAATTCAGCTATTGATTGTATATTGATTAGATGTCAGTATATGTTTAAGAAAGAAAACTGAAAATTCTTGAATATACAACAAGAAATTCAGACAGTAGTAATAGTCTTGTTTCCCTTGTAATTTACCCCAAGAGTCAGTTCACATTGAATTTTATAAAAATAGGTTCTAGACTGGGATTCAGATGCTTGCATTTTGACTCCAGAGCAATGATCTCATGCACTCATTACACCCCTAAAGTGATGCTCTCCAGAAAACTTCTGTAGAAGGGCTGCCTCATTCTTTGAATTCACATTTTTAATCAACTTCAGCATGTCACTGGCAAGCATTAGCTTAGAAGGTGGTATAGGGGAGCATGTGGCAGCATTTACAGTTGGGGAAGACCAACCTTGGTAATGCTGTTGTCCCTATTCTTCCAGAGGATCGTAACATTTGAAAACCAACCACAGACATTTCGAAGACACTTAGCACAATGCTCTCATTGTACATTTAACTAGGGCATATTCTCAGGGATTAAGTGACTTAAATATGGTTGGCTGGTTAGTTGGTTGGTTTATTAGAGGCAGGGAAAAAAAAAAAAGAATTTTAGTTTTTAGAAGTTGTTTTAAAAAGTCCTAAGAGGGACATCACCAGTTCCTGCATAGGAAGAATCAACATCATCAAAATGACCATATTAGTATAAAAAAATATATAGATTGAATGCAATTCCAGTCAAAATACCAACAGTATTCTTCACAGAACTAGAAAAATAATCCTAAAATTCATATGAAACCAAGAATAGCTAAAGCAGTCTTGAGCAACAGGAGCAAAGCAGGAGGTGTTACAGTCTCAGATTTCAAGTTATACTGTGAAGCTCCCATAATAACACAAATAGCATGGCAGCAGCACACAAATAGAGGCTAGGCCGGTGGAATGGGGTAGACACAGAAACAACCCACGCACCTTTGTCCATCTGATCTGTGACAAGGGGGTTAAATCACGTGCTGGAGAAGAGATAGCCTGATTAACAAGTTGTGCTAGGAGAATTGGTTATCCATGTGCTGAATGAAACTAGACCCAGGTTTCTCACCTTGTACTAAAATCAAATCAAAATACATCAAAAATTTATATGTAAAACTGAAACTACTGAAACATAAAACAGGGGAAAAACACTTGAAAACACAGACATAGGCAAGGACTTCCTAAATCTCCAGTTGCAAAAGAATATGAAGAATCAACAAATGGGATTTTATTGAATCAAAAAGCTTCTGCACAGCAATGAAAACAGTCAACAAAATAAAGAGACAACCCAGAAAATGGGAAACATTTTTTCCAGATACTCTTCTGATTAAAATACTAATAGCGGGCTGGGGATTGAGCTCAGTGGAGCTGCCGCCTGCCTTGCAAGAGCAAGGACTCCAGTTTGATCCCTGGTACCAAAAACAACAACAACAACAAAACAGTAATAGCTAAGATATATAAAGCACTTAAAAATTGGAACCTGAAACAAATAATTCAATCAAAAATGGCTAAATGGAGCGAATAGATACTTGTCAAAAAATGTATGAAAAATTTTCATTAGGGAAATGCAAATCAAAATAACTTAGCCCAATAAGAGTGGCTACAGTCAAGCATATGAAAAACAAATGCTGGTGAGGACATTGTAGTGGGGATGTAAACGTGTACAGCTACTATGCCGGTCAGTTTAGAGATTCCATTTGACATAGGCACACCTCTCCTGGGTGTTTCCCTGAAAGGTAAAGTCATTGTACTAGAGTGACACTTGCATACCCATGTCTATAACAGTGCCATTCACATTAGGTAAGCTGTGGAAACAACCTATGTGCCTACTAACAAAGGAATGGGTAAAGAAAACGTGGTATATATACACAGTTGAGTATTGTTCAGTCGTGAAGCATGAATTCAAGTTATTTATAGGAAAACGGGTGGATCTTAAGACCATAATGTTAAATAAAATAAGTCACACACAATCAAATATTGCATGATTTTTCTTTTTCTTTTTTAAAGAAACTCCAAATATAAATAAATTAAAGGTAAAATAAAAAGAGATGGTAGGAAGCAAGGAGGTAGACTTTTTTGGAGATGAGGAAGTGAGGAGGGGATCTAAAATGATCAAGATACTATACATATAAAATTTTTTCTGTACCATTTCCCCAAAATGAATGTAATTATTATGTATCACAAACATACATGAGTTTAAAAAAAGAAAAACATATTATCTGAGGACTAGAAATACAGTTCAGTGAGAGAGTGTGTGTAGCTTGTCACAGCACCGAGTTCAATCTCAAGCCTTTTATTTTTGGGACAGATTTTTGAGTAACAATAAAAGGGGTCAAGTGTCGTTTAAAAGACCGTAAACCTTAGGACCATAGTGTCTAGATTTAAATATGCTTTGACCGTTACTAGTCATGTGATTTGGGACCTCGCCTATCCTTTTGTGTCTCATTAAGTGAGAGTGATACTAATTTCATAGGATTATTAAGATCCTGCGTGCTGTTCTTAGATGAACAGCTCTGAGAGCAAGTCTGGCCCTCAGAAATCATTGGTTGTGCAGAACTGGAGGGGCAGGGGGAGCTCCCTGTGATAGAATGCTTTCCTTTCATGTTCAGGGCCCTAGCTTCTATCTCTGGCTTCTCTCTCTCTCTCTCTCTCTCTCTCTCTCTCTCTGGCTGTTCTTGTTATTTTTAGTAAATTATATTATTGCACTTGCTTATGATTCCATTTTTAATATTAAAGTAAAAGTGACTGCTTTGTCCCCATTATCAGGACGGGGTTATAATGACTTAAATCAATATCCTGTGTTTCCTTGGGTCATCACTAATTATGAGTCAGAAGAACTGGATCTTACCTTGCCAAGCAACTTCAGAGATTTGTCCAAGGTAATTTCTCAGTAACTGTCTAAAATATAATTGTCTTGCATATTAATGTAATTATCTTTCATTATTTTAACCTTTAAAAAATCTTTTCAATGTAATTGTACCTTTAATATATTTATCTTTTAAATGTATTTCCAATGTTCTCAAGCTTAAAATTGTAAAATTTGATGTGCACAACAAACTTGATAATTAGAAATACTACTGTATTTATTTTTCCATATCCATTAAAGAAATGTTAGCCCCTATTGTCACCCTCCTCTAAGAGTACTGGTATATGATAAAAGGTCAAGTGGATCACGAGTCTTCCTGCATAATGACACGTTCTGTGCCTCTGCACTGCTCCTCCTCACCCGCCTGGTCTTTCTGTTCCCACTTGCCTTTTCTGATCCATTCCTCACTCAATGATACACATCCTCTTTACGTCTTGAAGTGTGTGATTTACATACTTAAACATGTCTTCCTTACCAGTGAATGAAGAATAAATCTTACCAATTCAGAGCATTACTCTCTGCCTCGATGTTTTGTCTTTCTGCAAGAGCCTGCTCCTCATCCTTTTGGTCACTTCGTCTGGGAGACCGTTGCTATCCTCCTTCCTTCTCTGAGGTTCTGCTCACTGCTGCTTTCATGGCACCTGCCATATCTTGCATTTCTCATTCTTTTTATCCTGCTTGTTTGGGTTTTTCTTGTCTCCCTCACTGAGCTCTTAAGTGATAAAATTCTTGTTCATCATTGTTGACCTTCTTGCCACCACTTCTTGCTACTCAGTAAATGTGTAAGAAGTTCTCATAATGCCAGATTCCTTGCTTTCAATTTTGAAATCCTCCATTAATGTTTCCTTAATTTCCTTACTCAATTTTTCTAGCTCCACCTTAGGGCACAGTGAAGTACTTCACTAGTCCTAGCAGAGGTCATAAAGCAGTCAGTGAAATCCGGTATCAGTCAGAGGATTGCTGAGCTCCTGCAGATCCAACATGACAGGTGCTAGTGCACTAGGCTGTCCAGTGTCCTTCCCATAGAACTAAGCCTTCTGTTCTTCTGTCATCAGAGAGGATGTTCCTTATTTATCTGTTCCACAGTGTCCCCTTTTTACCCTGGTGTGATTAACATTGAGAGTATTCAGCGGTATTTCCCACTCTGTCCTTAGGATCTTCCGGACAGTCCACATAGTCACCAGGCTTTCCTCATGTCAGACAGTGTTTTGTCTCTGACTCTGTCTTTGCTAGCCTTCTATTCCCTTCAAGCCTCATGTTCACCTCTCGGGCTTTGCTGTTGTTCTTCTCTGTATCTAGAAGTCTGAACTCCCTTGGTGTACTCTGTATGTGTCAGTTGTAATACATTTATAATTTTGACATTTTTTAAGGCTAGCGAAGTAGCTAAGTGGTAGAGCCTTTGAGGCCCTGGTATGATCCCCAGCAGTGAAAAACAAAAACATTTTCTATGTTCCTTTGTATTTGAAACATTATTTAAAAAAATCAATAAATAAAATAAAAGCCTTACTTCCACATAGGCATTGCATTTTTTTGTTTTGTTTTGCTTAGTGCCAGGGATTGAACTCACGACCTTGTGCTTACAAGGCAGGTGCAGTGCCACTGAGATAAATCCCTGGCCCTGCATTTGTTTTTAAGATTCTGTAGTTTTTACTGGAATCTGTAGATCACGGGTCTAATGCAAGATGGCTACATTAGATTACTTGGGCCACGCAGAAGGTCAACAATAAGAATGGAATAACTACTTAATCCTTGTGCTGTTATATCCTCCTCTTTCCATTGTTTAAATTTTTGCACATAAGGTAAAAATACCATTTTTCCTGAATTTAATGAGATAAAATTTGCTTTTCAAGATGAATAACATTTAAACAAATGCCCTCTCTGGATGCTCTAAGATTATAACCAAGTCCTTCAGCTTGGGCTCCTGTTTGAACATGTGCCTTATTATGATGTTCATGCCTCCAGATGCTTTTCCTGGAAGTCTCTTTTAGTTGCAGTAGACAGAGAGCTGAGTTGTGGACTGGGTCTGCTCACACTGACCTTGGTGGAGTAGCTCCTACGCTTGCCGGGAGGGAGGCTCTTTGGATGCTCCTTCTGAGGCTGTTTCACTCTTCGCTGTCATTGTCCTTCACAAAAGCTCAGATCCCTGCTACCTCTCCTTTATTCCCCTCCTCCTTGCCAGCTTGAGTCCATTCTTTCTCTGCCTCTCAGCTGTGCTCTCTATCCACTAACAGTCCTACAAGACCAAAATAAAACTTAAAATAATTGTATGGGTTATATAGTTTGTTTAACCATGAATACTCATTGTGGAATTTTTAAATGCTGTTATAGGTTTACCAAACAGTTCTTCATTAAAATTGAATTTTATGTATATGTTATATTTGTTTCTGAGGAATTGAGAAGTGATTTTGTTGAGTGGCTTAAATATTATTTTAACTGATTCTTCTATAACTTCTCTTCTGGATGATAATTTTTATGCCACACTGGATGATCAGTAGTAATTTTGCTACATTAAAAGTGGAAAGAGGGGAAGGCAACAAAACAAAAACAAAAGACTTTCTTTCATTCGTCTTTGTCCATATATGACCCTGTGTATTAAACACAGACATAAAAAGCACAATTTGTGTGATTTATTGCCTTTCATTGTAGTGGAATTCATTTTATATTTTAAGGAATATTTGATAAAATAATTATAAAGGGTGCTTTCAACAATAGCTGGAGCACACAGAAAAGAATGCTGAATAATGGTAGTGTCATGAGGAAGTACAGGGAAATCTGGGGAGTTCTAGCCCTTAGCCTCGTATTGTAAAACGAGCATCTTCTTTCCTTTAATGCAGGAGTAGTTCAGATGCTACAGAAGTCATTCAGGTTCATGAAAATGAAATTCCACTAGTACTAATTGATTTTAGTAGGTATTGATGCAGTAAATTAGTTTGGAATTAAGTACATTGTTTTAAATGAAATAATCAAGCACATAAGATATGTGCAAATTTTACTTTGAATCCCAACAATAGTGATATTTGTTTGCTAAATAAAACTATCTCATTGCTTTTAGTAGTAAGGTTTGCAGAAGTGTTTACAGTGTGATTCAGTTTTCAAATATATGTTTCTACACACACATTCAGGAATATAATATCTTCTATATCAGTGAGTTGTGTTTGTACAAACAATGACTATAATAGAATTGCATTAAAATTTGTCCCATAGTATACATTTGGCAAACATTACTATTTGTTTAAATAGATTGTGAAAGCCTGAAAAACATTGTGCACAAACCTTAATTTAGAATATATGCAGATCTTATGCTCATTCTTAAGTAGGTAATGTAGCCTGACTGGCTTTAAAATGTGTTGAATTATTTATACATATTTATGTTCATTTAATTTCCCCAAAGCTGGATTATAGAGGAATTTTAGCAGCTTTGATACAGAGCTACAATTTTATTTGGTAATCTTAGCAGTATTGTATAGGGAATTTTCTTTCTAAAGCCGAATTAATGTAATCAACACCATTTCTCTGAATTATGTTTTCTGATCATTCTTTGAGAGCAGGAAAAATATGAATAAAGCAATATTAAAAAGTCTCCCCAGGAGTATAAAATTTTATTCCATGTATAGTATCTCCTTATAATGATTACAAATTAGTATTAATTTATATGTTGAGAAGTCAGTATGTTGAGATCACATCTGTTTTAGTCTGAAAAGATGATGAAAATTAAATCTTTGCTTGCATTGAAAGATTTCTCATTTTAGCATAATGGTTTTTATTCTTTGAAAGCTGAGAAAAACAGGGATTGGTTTTGAAGGCTATCCTCCCGCCCCATCACTAGTCTGAAATTCTGACTGATGAGATGACAGGGGTAACCATGCATAGAATTTGGAATGACATTAATCTGTATTTTATAAATATACATTGACTTTATATTTTGACAGTGTCCTTGGAAGAGATAAGAATCAATGCTTTCTTTTTATCTTTTCTTTATGAGAAATTTTAACTAGGGGAGGAATATATTTTCAAAATGTCATACCATAAAACCAAGTTATGATGGCAGTTTCAGTATCCAGACTTTCTTTGTAAATTTCAAATATTTTCTTCATAACTCTGATTGATTGATTGATTTTTCTTCTTCCTTGAAGAGTGATTCTATAAACCAGTTGTCTAAGAGAGGAAAACTAAGAGTATGAGGCAATCTTTTCTCTTCTACTTGATCAGCATAGTTATTCTGGAATATACATTTATACTCTTAATTTGCATACCTATTCCAGTAGCTTACTGTGTTCTTAGATCAAAAGAATATTGATGACCATTCAAGATAACTCAATTATCTTGGCTATGGTGTTCAAAAGAAAGGAATAACTCACTTTATTATTATTAAGTAACATTTAAGGAGCACTTCCTGTGGCACAAGCTCTTGTAAGTATCTTGTATGTGTTAATTCCTTTAACTTTCACAAAAAACCTTAAAGATAAGTAGCATTATTATTATCTTTTACAGAGGCAGAAACGTAGGCACTGTGAGGTTAATCAAGTTGTACAATGTCAACAGCTAGTAGATACAGAACACATTTAAATACTAAGCTGATATTTTTCAGAGTGAAGCTCATGACTATTTTTTTTTTTTTTTTTTTTTTTTTTTT